CATTCGCTCCAAGTAGCAGCAGAACAGATTGAAGATTTCCACTCATAACAGCAGCATGAAGGGCAGTATAGCCATTCTGTAGACAAGACACAAATATGAACTACCCTTCTTTAATATTATTACTTTTCCTTTAATAGTATCTGGCATTTCACAAGCATGCATCTTCCTTTTCTTGTTCAGCATTAGATTACAAGATTGATTAACAGCTCTAATATTGGGACACCAAATAAAAAGAAAGAGCCAGCAGCCAGATAATGTAGTTTAACGCAAAAAATGGAAATGGGGATGGCAGGTCCACTGACTTTCTTTTTGTGTCTTTTTGGAAGAGAGCTGTCTCTGTAACCATGTTTCAGGCCTGTCAGCCATGATCCACTCTGACTGCCCGACTGCCCACGGAGGAAACTCATCTGATTGTTAGTGGAGCTGGATATAGAGCCTCTGAACCAGTGTTCCTTGCTATTTGAGCACTGAGCTACTCGTGATGTGGGTGGTATTTTTGGGTTTGTCTGACACTACTAGTAATATGTTTTTAATAGTATTTATTTGATAGTTTAGCTTTGTTTAGACCCTCTTTTGTTCTGTTTATGAGCAGTTGGAAATGTAATAACTAACTTACTTTAAATTTTTTTTTTTATCTAAGTATAAAATTTAGCACCGCTATTTTGGCTTGTCACTATAGGTCTATTCATTTTTTCCTAGGCAGTGATTTTTATTGTTATTATTATTTTTTTTTATTTGATTTCCTTTTTACTGATTACATTCCAACAGTACTGTCATGTGCTGTACATACAAGCTACTCATTTCTACATAAAGATATCAGTGCTGTTGGTTTTTTTTAAAACCTTTTTAATATTAGTGTCCATGTATAAAAAAAAATTATATCACTGTTGTATATTGTATTAGATTTAGCTATTAGCCATTTTCCATCTGCAATCCCTGGGAATGTAAACACAGCTTTACCTGCCCAGGGATGTTGTTTCTTTGGATCCATAGTTTGCAAATATTTTTAAGTTACTCTCTGTGCTTCTACTGATGTCAAATCTTCAAATCTTTACAAAGAGGAAATCACTATCTTGACTTTGTCTAAGCAGGTAACATCCATCCTACAAAACACGCAAAATCTATCTACGAGCCCACACACTGTTTTTGTGCCAGACTATTTTTTTGGTGTTGCAGAAAAGCTTGAGAGCTTGACAAGTTGTGCCTTAACCATAGCTATTTCCCAAAACAGACATCTACAGCAGCATGTTTTACCTTAAGAAGGCCAAGTGATGGAGAAAATTTGAGGAGTTCCTCAATGACGCCACTGTGGCCTTTCAGCGCTGCTTTGAACAGCGCTGTTGATCCATCCTTGAAAGACACAAAAAAAGCAGACAATTGTTAAAATTGTCACAAAAATCATGAGTCCATTTTCAGTTACTCACATCCTTAAAAGCCTTTGACTATATCACGTTTCCCACCAACAGATAATCTCTCATCCAACTCTGAAATGTTAAATATAAGTGTAGGTATCTGCATACAGTTGCAAATTCAATCTATATGTCAATATAATTACAAATCAAAAACCCTTCATGATAAAATGTTTCTATAAACAGAGATCGCAGCCTCCTAGTCTTATGTAATGTCACACTTTCCACACTGCAGAATGGCAGGAATCAATAGTAAAAATCCCTTTATGTACACTTTGATGTACTTTATTAATCCTAAAAGATCAATGTACTTGTCTGTCAGCATCCCGATCAGCACCACGTAAGAGCAGCACCTTCACCACCTCACTGTGACCCATTTGGGCTGCCATCCACAGGGGGGCAGTGCCATCCTGGAGGAGTTGATGAAGAGGGGGGTTGTAGGTATTGAGGGACAATTAGCAGGAGTAGGTGACAAGATGACAAGCTCTGTTTTAAAGAGGCAGAGTTTGGAAAGGACTTTACCTCCCTAGATTGGTTGACCTTGGCACCGGATGACAGCAACTGACGAATCACAGTCACATGACCCTCTTGGGCAGCAAGGAAAAGAGGGGTGGCACCATCCTGCAAAACAAGAATTACCTCACACTATTTTCAAAATCTGCTTGGAAAATCTTCCAATTAGGCATAGACTACATCACTAAAACAAGATTCCATCAGTACTATTTATAAGCACATTTTTGTGTAAGCAGGTTGTTTTTCCATGGCACCAAGGAAACACACAGTTATCCTGCCCAGTATGATTCATGTCTGACTCAGCAGTCTGCAGAAACCTGAGAGGCTGGATTCCAGTTGCTGAGACAATGTGTGCAGCTAACCATTGTGTTTCTGACAGACAAATAGACTTAACAGACAGGACAGTGACGGCGTACTGAGAGCGAGAGGCTGCAGACGTAAATGCAAAGAGCCTCACGTTCAGCTGGTCGTGAACATTGGCTCCATTTTTCAGCAGGATGTCCACCACTTTGGAGTGACCGTACTGAGATGCGACAGTGAGAGCTGTGCCACCATCCTGCCACATAAACACACATGGATGCACAAGAATGACTAAAGTGTTCGGCAACAACAAAAACATCTTTAAAGTCACAGCAGCACTGTTTGTGCATCGCTGCCTCTTTATCTCCACATTTTGAAGTCTGATGATAGCACTGAAGCATTCTCCTTCACACCCAGTATTCTAAAGGCCATGATACACATCATTGAACCCTGTTGCATACCTTTGTCTGGAATTCAGTGGAGGCACCGAATTCAAAGAGGAGCTTTACAACTTCATGGTGTCCTTGCTGGGAGGAGAAGAACAAAGCGGTAGAACCTGTCTGGAAAGTTAAAAAAAGACACTGCTGTTTACCTCAACTTTATATTGTGTTATTGTGTTGTGTACACAATATAACCTTTCATGAATATCTGACATGAGGAATAGAATAAATAAGTGTCCAATTGGGGGAATTTTGCTGCACATATGGCCCTGTTTTCTTACAAATAAGATTCTACTCAAGCATAAAACTAACATTATAGAAAGTTTTATTTGGCAGGAAAAAAACGGGAAAAAAAACTTAGCACAAAGGTTGAAATATAACCAAAGTGTAGGGCAGACAGTTAATGAGGACTATATGCACCAAACCTATAGCAGCAACTTGCTGTAGCTTCCCAGTGAAACACCAGCCGGTTAGCATAAGAACGGTTGGGAAAAGGAAGTAAAACTACCTTGGTGACCTACTGCCTGTAGGTGAGAGAAATCCGCGTATAAACACATCTAAAAGATACTAAATTGATAGACTACACTCACTGGCCTCTTTGTTGTTCAACTGCTTATTGACAAAAATATTGAATCAGCCAATTACATGGCAGCA